GGCGTTGTGGGTTTTTTTGTTGTTGTTTTTGGTTTGGTTTTTTTTTTTTTCCTCTTGGCTGTGGAGTTTGGAAGAGGCAGCCCTGCTGTGGCAGTAAGCCAGCGCTGGGGTGTAGCACTACAGGACAGTGCAAAGAGCTGCGGGCATGAATTAGTGTTCCCTGGTGTGCCTGGCAGATTGAGTGAATCCAGACTGTCTTCAGCAGCATTTGTCAGCCTCTATATAAGTGGGCAGGAGTAGTAGTTTTTTATTTCTGTATTTATTTGGCCTCTGTTTTGCTTTCTAAACCACTATTACATAAGACATGGTTAAGAGACTTTCACTACCACAACTCGGGTGTGATTTGCATTGTGTTACCTTGAATTTGTTTTTCTCTTTTAAGTATTGTGATATAGCTACTCTGTGGGGTTTTCTTCTTCCCCATTCTGTACTGTTAGTACAGAGGAACTGTGAAAACCATTACCTGTGACCAAATATACCTCTCCATGATGAGATGCACAGGAAACAGAAAGCAAAATGTTAGAGAGCTTTTAAATCGGTAGTAAATTCCTTAATGGCTGCTTGGTTCCATTTTTCTGCCCTTTGCAAGGGCAAAGCTTCTGTTGACTTCAGTGAGATGGCCAGATCAGGGGTTGCAGAATCCCAAAATATTCCTGGAATCAACGAGAACAACTCTGGTTATGCTGAACTTGCATTTGCAGCACTTACGACTGAATTTGTCCTCTATGCTGCAGGGCTGTACAACTGCAAAAGCTGGGCAGTTTCTAGTTGGATTCTGAGAGAAAAAGGGGACCTCCGTTCAGAAGAAATTTCATAACGTGCATGTGGCCTCACTACTTCTTCCTTAGTGGCAGAGATGATGAACCAGAAGTGCGAAGTGGAGATGTTGGTAGAGGAGCACGAGCACGAAGGTGCTCTGAACCCAGTTAGCATTGCACCAGTGTTTACGCGATTGTGGAGGTATATAGCATGCTGTGTGGCATGCTCTGAGGAAGAGAGTCTTAAAAGTCTGCGTGGAGCTACACCAGTCATTGATTTTTGGGTTTTGGCATGTCTTTGGTAAAATAAGTTTCTTATTTATATTTTGAATGACCCTTTTGGCCTGGCTGTAGCTGTTGAATTGGAAAATGTGCCCCTACAACTTAACTATTGCATGGGTTAGTGACCAAAGCCTCACAAGTTGTTATCAACCCCTACAAAAGCAGAACAGGCTAATGGGCAGTGGATCAGTATTAGCAAATAGGCAAACTTTTTGCAGGTACTGAATGAGAGGCACAGGACTTCTAAATTTCCACAGTAGGTGAGGTGCTAATGATAGTTTACCCATTGATGGGAGGTATTCCTGTGACCTGGATGTCTGCGTGGCAGAGCCGGGGGTGGCTGCCTGAGCGTTTTGGGTGGCCCTTCTGGAGAAGCAAAGCTGTGCTCGTGCTAAATCTCCAACTGCTCCTGTTTCTCCTAATTTTCTTGGGAATTACTGGGTACAGAAATACTGAGCTATAAAATCGAGGTTATAGACACTGTAATTCATAATGCAGAAGGTAGTCCTGTGAGATTTAATTTTGTGAGCTGCTTTTTTGTGTGTCTCTTGTTTTGAGTGTCTGTCCCACATTTGGTCCTTGGCAGGTGAAAAATGTGCACATTAGTACTTTGTATCCCTTTAATTAATTTTGCGTGACTCTCTTTTTCCAGGTAATTAGGCCAGAAAAAGGACTTTGCTTTTGGGCACTGATTTAAAAGAAAAAAAAAAGCGCAAAAAAAAGGCATCAAATAAACATAACTATTTGCATAATATTTTTACTAGTATGTTTGTGATATTGAAAAATCCATGCTCATAAACCACATTTGTTAAGGGTCTATTATTAGATCATGAAACTTACTCAGAGTTACAATTTTTCAACCCCTCTTGATTCATTCAGCGTTGCAAAGAATCTTTTCCTGTTTTCTTGTGGACAACAGTGATTTCTTATGACTGTGACATAGTGTATCATCATGTTTCTTTATTAGGCTGTACAAAAGAATGACAAAGGGGATTTAATATTGGTTTTATTTGATATTCTATACTGTGGTAACTGATAATAGTTGTTATTAGCATACTTTCAGTTGTTACTAAAAAGTTTCAAAGTACGTTTTTCCTCAAAGACCACAGGAAATTGCATTAAGATGTATTGTAATCCCATTTTGGTCACTTTATCCAATGTAAAAAATGAAATCTTGAGTGTCAGGTTTATCCAAATAGGAATATAAACTTAAATGCCAGATGAAATGTATCACTTGACATTAAAAAAAAACAAATCCTGAAACTACATGCCTAAATATGGACAAAATGTTTTCTCCTTTTAAAATGCCTTATAGCTAAAATATTGCTATAGAATCATGAAAGAGGAAGTAACTGTCCTGTCAGCTGAGCAAGTAAATAGATTTTCAGTAGAGTAGGGAGGTCATACTTACGTGTTAACAACAACTACTGAACCTGAGTGCCTTTCAAAGGCAGTTGTCTTTCTGTGCCTAGCTTGCTGTGATCTTGCCCCCCCTCTTTCTAAGCTTGTGAGGAACTGGAGTATTTAAGTAGATTATTTTGTCTTAAGTAGCAGAGGAACTGCATTCCTCCTGCATGCTGTGCCTCTGGTTCTTATGTTTCTTGACACAAGGAGCAGGTCAAACATAGTTTGATGTAGTTTGGTATTTCTGTTACAGAAATGCAACATGCTGTTGAAGTGATTAATTAATCTTTCCAAATGTTTCAAAAGAAGTTTTCCTTGTGTATGCATTTTACCTGCACTGATTTAAAAGAATTATTGCTTTCCTTGTGGGGAAAAAAAAGAGTAAAACTGACAGTGGCAGTAGACTATGCCAGCAGAGATGAGCACAAAGTAGTTCTGCAAGTGCAGAGCTATTTGAGTGTGGAATAAACTGATGGGAATGTGGCTTCTAGTGCTCCTGTCCTTCCTTCTTTTTCTCAGCCACGCTTTCCAGCCCCTTCCTTTTGGCTGAGCCTGGGGCATATCTGATGCACAAGCTGGTTTGGGAATCCAGCTAAAAATTAATCCTACCCAAAAAATGGTAGTTTGCATCCTCTTCCATTAAAATCTACTTGCGCAGGATCCAGTGAGAGAGGTCTGCTTTTCTGTTTGTGTTTGGTTTTGGTTTTGGTTTTTTATTATTTTTATTTTTACTTTCTGGCCCTAACACTGGCAATATTCTTCAGTGAAACAGCTATTATGGAAAGTGTTCTTGTCACCTGGTCAAAAGAAAAGGGAGAGAAATTCCCAAGATGTCATACAGTCATACAGGTTCTCAGTGTGCTTTCTGGGCCAGTATTGAAGGAATTTGAAGCATGGGAGTTTAACTGCATGGCTCCTGTGAAGGGTGATTACTGTTATCTGAGAGCTCTTTGTAAATTCATGAATACCTCGTAATCTAGGTTAAAACCAAATCAGCATGCGTGTAGGGTATGTTTTTTCCAGGAGTTTACAGACTGGGAGGGGTGTGCATATACCACGAAAGGTCAGATCCACCCTCCAGAGTTAAGGTCCCTGATTTCCAGGGTACTTTAACACAGCACATTGGAAATTTCTGTCGTGATCTGGAAGCCTAAAAATTCTGGAAAGCATTTATTGCATTACACATGCAAGTAATAAAGCCACACACTAAAAGCCCGGAAGGCACGCATCTACCCAACTCCCTCCGGATCTTGGCTGATCCCTTTTCTTCAGACCTTACTTCTTGACTGATTCCTCTTTCTTTTCTCATCCTCCTTCCTGCTGTTTTCTCCTATTAATGAGCTCTCCCACCTGCCTCGCTCCCCAAAACACTTCAGGACTTGACCATCTGTCACTGCTGCTGTGCATCCTTACTGTTCTAAGAGAAAGTACTGACCTTGAGCTGGAGCGTGTGATCTGTGATAAAGAGCTTACAAACTGGCAAATGAACCAGTATTACAAATAACTCACTTTATACATCACACGTGAAACAGCACGAAATATGGAAGCTGCTAGGTCTAAATGCTCAGTCTGTAAGTACAGTTCTGAGGAAAAGATGCGTCCAGTAAATCTGCGAAGGTTTGCAATGCAACACATGGATCCGTGCACACGCACTGGGCGGTGAGATCCATACCCTGCCCTAATAATCCATTTGATTTAGGAGTTGACCTCAGTTATTGGCTGCAGCTTTATATGAAACTTTTTCAGATGACTTTACAAATAAAAATCTGTAAAATGGCTGTGCAAGTACAGTGAGACTAAATGTATTTTCCAAGAAAGATTATTTTTGGTTTGCTTAAGACTAAGTTTAGTTAAATCAGCAGAAAGGCTTTTTGACTTCCTTTCTCTGTGTAATTATAAGCTGAAGTTCTAAATCAGCTGCTTAGTCGTGGTAAATTATGAAAATTATGCTGCTCGTTGGCAAGCTGTTGTTAAAATAAACATATTTATTGCTTGATTTTTTTTTTTCTTAAAGGTTGTTTCCCTTGAAACAAAAAGCTGAAGAGTAACTTAAACTGCGGGAACCCATGTTTTTCAAAGTATCTGTCATAGTACAGGATATCTAAACATGACAGGTATTCAGAGTTTCTGACAAGTTAATTTTATCCAAGTGATTTGCAATGTTTTATAAAAATTGAACACAAGCTGAATCCAGTCTGTTGCAACTACAAAGCAAAACATTGCTGTTTGCCAGGGGAGGGGATGTGTATGCCGTCAGTTTAGGCCTCCAAGTGCAGCTGATCTTCATGTCAAAACTTGTCCTCAGAGTCCATGCCCTGTAATGGAAAAGATGCATTGAACCAGTAAGTGCTGGTGGCGTAAATCCAGCAGAATGAAGCACAGCCGGAGATAAGGGAGCTCTGCTGCCTTGGGATTTAACTACCAAAGATGTCTTTTTCTCTATGGGATGAAAGAAAGTCGGTGGTCCTGCCATGACAAGTCTTTGTGACCCGACGAAGTGTGATAATTCTGATTTATTAATGATATTTTTTGTTTGTGGGGGTTATGTTTTAACAGTTTCATTCCTTGGCTCCAATGTACTACCGAGGTTCAGCAGCAGCGGTGATTGTTTATGATATCACCAAACAGGTAAGACCTTCTGTACGCTTCTCACCTGTGTTCGCTCCTCTGCTTGGGCCAGAGTAAAATTCACAACTGCAGAAGTATTTATATGTTAATTGCTGTTCACATCAGTGGGGTTTATATGCTTCGGTAGTTTGGGTAGATTTGGATGGAGGCATCCAACTGCCTTAAAAACCTAAATATGAAGTCCAACTTCTGTGTTGTTTAAGCTTTGTCCAGACAAAATGTTGGAGACAGCATTTTTTAGAAGTTTCTTTGGCTTTCCTCTGGCTAAGTAGAGAGGATGATATCCTGCAATACCCCCTCCCATCATCACCTACGTTCTGTGTATGGATTGAATTTTTAATACAAAAATGAGCTAGCTGCTTTATCAACTGAACAGAAATTCAGTTGTTTGCGTACTGCTGATTTTAAAACTAATTGTTTTTAACTAAGCATATAATCTCATGTTTGCATTGCGGGGCTCAAGTCTTAACTTTGAAACCAGTAATGAAATAATAAATCTCTGACCTTTGTCTCAACCTTATTCATTTGGAATGAAAATTGTATTTTCAGATCCTATTTTTTGCTCTTGCTCATTTCTCAGGCAGAGGATGCTAGGAGGTTCTACCTGAATGGCTCTTCCACTGCTTTTGAAAGAAACCCCCGCTGATAAAGCTGAGTTAGAGGCAGCATTAATGGATGGATGGTCATGACAGTTCATGTGCATTTTATTCCTTTCCTGCCAATTGAATTATTTACTACTAGGTTGAGAGGGTTGGGTTTATTCTCCAGTGCATTAGTGTAATGATCTGTGGCTGATGATGGTGGCCACTGTTGCACAGCGGTACTGTTCTCCTTTGCTAATTTGCCAAGAAAAGATGAGGAAGAGTGAACCCTGCTGGATTGATACTTACTTTTAATTTAAATGTCTTACAGTTGATCTCGTAATGCATTGTAAGAATAGAATTTTGTTTTGCCAGCCTTTTTCCAAGCTTACATGGAACAGCTCACAGAATAAAGAGGGGAAAATAGGAGCGGAAGGTCAACGTGTGTTTCACTTTCTGATGCGTAATATTCAGCACTGACCATTAAAGCAGAATGGATGTTTTTTCCCAAATGACTGATAGTGCTCTCCCTTCAGTGATACTGATACAGCCATCGCTGGTTTTGACACAACTCCTATGTGCATTTCTGAAGGGGAAAAATGATTGATAATATATTTAGGGGCTCACTTTGAGTTTCAGTAATAATTTCAACCATGCATTATAATTAGAATCTCTAGGAACAAAAGTGATTTTAATGCTATTAGTTCATTCGTGTAAAGAAATAGAAAATTTACTATTAAAAGGTAGGTAGCATCAAAAAGTGTTTGAATTTTGTACTTGGAAGGAAAAAGCCAAGTGAATTGTCACCTGTCTCTTTGGTTTCATAGTGAGTAGATTGAGGTTTACCAGGTCACAGATTCAGAAATGCCGGGGTGACGGGGGTCACTGAAATCTCTCTTGGATGTTATCAAAAAATATGGTAGTGGTTGAGATAGTAAGCCACCAGGCAGAAACTGAAATTAGACAAATGAAGCTAACGTTAAAAGTGAAGGAAATTAGCTACTAGCCAAACTTAAAAGAGCTGTGGTAGTTTCTTCATCACTGGAAAATTTAAGAAAAACATTCAGTGCTGCTTTGAGGGGGGGCAAAGGGGGAAGAGTCCAAGTTCAAGCAAGAATTAATTTGAGGAAGTCTTATGACCTAAAGTTTGAAAAGCAAATTACAGAGATACAGTGGCCGCCTTCTGGTCTTGTGATCTATGAAATCATTATTGCATTAATATTGTCAAAGCTGTATTCCTCTAACTTCAGAAAAATAAGCAAATACATCAACAGAGACCAGGCTGTTAGCTTATTTGTTATTTCTCTGACTTAGGATTCATTTCATACTTTGAAGAAATGGGTGAAAGAACTAAAAGAACATGGTCCTGAAAACATTGTAATGGCCATCGCTGGAAACAAATGTGATCTTTCTGATATCAGGTAATACGTAAATTTTTGTTGCTGCTTTGATTGCAGTAACTATGTTGTTTCCTTTCTTCAGGTAACCGATTTGTTTTGTTGTTATAATAGTATATCATTTTGGTCAGCTGTATTGAGTTTCCTAACACCAGTGGTCCTGACAGCGTACAACCTCACCAGCAGCAGCACAACTTGAATTATGTACTTTTTTTTTTTAACCTCTCTTTTACTGCCCTTCCTGTGGGTTTGTACAATCTACACCCTTTAGCTGCTGAATCATTGGGAATGGAAGAGTATTCTCTTTTTTTTCCTTGCATTCGTGTTAAAAGCTGCAGAATGTATTAAGCGATGAGCAAAACCAGCAATGTAAAGCTAGAAGGGTAGGCCTGAGGCAGAATAATGTTATTCACAGAGCAGCTTTGAGAACTTGTACTTTGTGCTTTGCAACAACTGAAACTGTCCCATAATACTGGATGTAGAAAGTGTATTTTTGTTGTTTTTAGGAGCAAAACCTCAAGTAAAACTTGTGTCACCTGTGTGAAGCAAAGAATCTCCTGGGTAAAAGAGGGGAGGGTTGAATCTGCCCTCCTGCAGAAGAGCCGAGATGATGCCATTTGGGATGAGAGTGAAGCTAGAGTCACTCTTCTGCTTGCTAGCTCTAGTTTGGATTCACATTTATCCTTTCTGGAAGTGGAAGCGCATTCTGCTGTACAGTAGTGATCCTTTGTGTCAGGCCATGACTCTCTGTTATTTTTTGCTTCAACTACGAGTACAGACTCAATGGCCATATTTGATGCTTTCCTGTTAGGACCTCATAGGAACTCACAAGTGATGCAGTGCTTCCAAAACCAAACTGTGTTAGGTTTGTCTTGTTTTGGTTTTGTTTGGGTTTTTTTTTGTTCCCTCTCCCATCCCCATCAGCCATGAACCAACACAAAACTGCTTTCTGTAAGACCTGAGCAAGCCCTGATGCTAGAAGACTCCTGGTTTCTGTTGGGCTAAGAACTGGGGACACAGATAGTATATTGGCATCTCCTACTTGATGTCGTGATATGCTTGTCAACATGGTGAAGCTGAGTCCTATAATACGAAACTAAAGTTTTCCAAATGTGAAGCAGGAAGAAAAAAACCAAAAACAAACAACAGAGGAAAGGACAATTAAAAAATAAACCCAAAAACCAGTTAGCACAAACTGGAGTTTTCAGTTGCCCTGAGAGTCACTTTAAATTTAAACTTAAGTGTTCCCAGCAATACAATTGCCTGATTAAATCAAGGGTAATAAGTTTGGAGGTTGTGACAAATGACACTATAGCAAATGAATCCATAACCAGCCCTCCCCCTGCTTTTGGTAGCATTTGCCATGGCAGCAAGCTTTTAAATGCTGTTCCACTGGAGGCAGGTTAACTTGGGGACATGAAGGAAAACCTGCACCACAGAAGTGTTGGGAGAATACTGGGGTTCCTCACAGAGTGACTGTCATCTTCCCACCACATTCTTCTCCAACACTACCTGTTGTTTACTGACTGCTGATCGTCTGTTTCTTGCTCCTGTTCAGCCACTACAGCTCTTCCATGCACAAAATATTCTGGCATTTGCGTAGTGCTCATTGTCCTCAGTGAGCTAATGTCACTTATTCTTCCCCCCCCCCAATTATGAACAGTTTTGAGTATTTTTTTCATGCTGTTATTCTTTCTGCATCCCCCAGCCTTCTCTCTTTCTAAAGGCATCCAGTGATATCCAGTTAAAGAGATTTTGGTGGACAAATAGAGAGCAGACTATATTGTATGTGATACGTTTTCACAGTTCTTCCAGCAACCTGATTGTTTATGCAACACATGCAGCTGTGTGTGTTCTCTGGCTGCTTTATGTCTTCAGACTGACTTCAGTAAAACTGATTTTAGGTGAAATGTCTCACCAATTTATCAGATTGTTTCCAATAAGTAGAAAATACATATGCCTTTGGGCACAGAGAATTTAAAAATAAGATGATGTGAGCACACAGGAGCAAGCTGTTGTTTGTATGCATTTTTGGCATCTCTCTTTGGTTTTGTAGAACTTCTGGCAGATGTTTTTCTGAGTATTAGAGAGAGAGCTGCTTTTAAGACCAACACGAATAGAAGCAAAAGAGGACAAGCTGACCAGGTCCAAGTTGATTTGATTCTACCATCTCTGTGACTGTAGGAGATAATGTAAGGGGAAATGAATGGAAGCAATAAGAACTGATTCTTTTCCTCTGGGAAAAGTCTGGCACTATTTCTCATGATCGTTTACCATGTTTCCCTCCTCATTTAGCATCTAAAATTTGGTTTTGAGCTGCCAAGATGGATTTGGGACACTCGGGATCATGGTGCTTTCCTCAGTGTTGTTAGTAGGCTATCAGCAGTTTTTGGCACTCTGTTGAAGTCAATTTCTTCTCTACTTTGAAGGAATTTCTACAGGTAGACAGGTGATTTTGTTTAGTATATATCCTCATCTTTTTTATAGTACTGTCAACTCTAGTACTGTTGAGTGTTTGGCATACTTTTAAGTAATAGTAATAGACTTTTCCTTCTGATATGTGTCCTGTCCTTCTGATAGGTCATTAAAAAGTAGTTTCAAAGACAGGAGTTGGGACTTCAATGTTAAAATGTTGTAAGTGTCCAAAATATTTTTTGAGCATTATAGAAGTCAGTAGTCATAACAGCAACTAAGTGGTGTTTACTTCCCTAAAAATAATGCACCTTCTTAACAAATTGTGTTCACTGGAAATTGCCAGATCCTTGGTTAAAAGAATGCAGCAGAATTTTGTGCTCAGATCTTCCCTCCGTGCATCCAGAATATTTCTTTATTCGGTAATTATTCAGAAAATCTCAAGGGAGACTGAATCAATAGAATGATTTGGAAAGGATAAAATGAAATAATAGGTATTCCTATTCAGAATAGGTATTCCTCTAACTTTCCCCATAGCCCTGGAATAACACTTTCTCAGCACTCCATTGATGGTTCTTGCCTTCTTCCCTCTTCACCCCATCTTGCGTGTATTCATCTCTTGGCTTAGGGTTCAAGCATTTGTGCTTTTCCTTTTTGACAAGGTAGCATCTTAGCAACGTTGACATCCAGATTATGGTAACTCCACTCGATGTATGCAGCCTTCGCAGTGTCGACAGCACTGGGTGGCATAACATTTATTTCCTACGTGCTGTGGACGTTTATAGGCTTCCTTTAGAAATGTCATCAGAGAAGGCTAAGAAGTTTTGTGACATTTCCTTGGACTATTGTCACTTGCTCCTGTTTTACTTTTTCCTTGATTCCTGAAGTTTGCTTTCTCATCTTAATTACAGCAAGTTGAAAGTCTTCATTGCACAACCCTGTGCTCTCAAATTTCTTCCTTTACTGTTGTTTGAATATTATGTTACATAGTTAAGTTTAATTTTTCTTATTGCCAGGGCCATCTGCAGAGGGTGGTACCTTTCATAATAAAAGCCAAGGTGCCATTTCAGAAATAGTGAGGGGAATGCTGCCTTCCCTGTGTCTTCTGCAATAAAAAGACGTGTAATACAAAGAAGCAAGTAATGGAAACAAGCTCTGAATCCAGATGCTGGAATTGCAGGCTAATTTTTTGAAAACCATTTGTAATAAATCAGGCAATTATTCTGCCTCTCTGCATGTTTCCCATGAGCAGCATATCTGATTCATTTAAAATACATACCTCCATAAACTAATTGTGAAATTGCATTGCTGTGCTCCCACCTAGGTACCTTCTGTTAAAAGTCCAAGGCACTCATACTAGGAGAAGACTGTACTAGGAGTCTCTGGATTGGTACATTGGAGTTGTGGGGTGAAGGAGTTGGTGCAAATTCCGCATGTGCAGCAGACAGCTCTAAAGCCACACAAAACACACCAGTTGATGTATTGAACAACTGGAAGAAAAATAGCGCTGGCAGCCTGGTGTTTCAACATGTGCTCCCCTGATCAAGTGTACCTTGGGTGCCCGTTAGCATATTCAGTCTCTGATTCTGAGCTGTTACTCACAAATCAGGAATAGCAGTGGACATGGGCACATTCAGGTTTTCCCTCTGGCTCAGCAGATACAAGGTCAGCATGGGGCTTGCTTTATGTCTGAAGCAGAGGTCTTTTGCATGTCGTAAACTGCATTTACCAGCTTTTGGCATATGAAGTATTGGCTACAAAATGAGGATGTTCTACCAGTGATTTTAAGATGGTGTCACTTTGGTGACATGGCACAGAATGGTGGTCTTCCCTCAGTGAATCTGGCACTCCCAGATTGCTCTTGCCAATGTGCTCGGAGTCAGTGGCTTTCATATTTCTTTCAGAATCTCTCTTGTTTTCTTGCTGCTTGCAAGCACTTAGACATAACGATGCTCTTATCGTTTTCCTCTGCAATAGTCATACCCTATCTTGTTTGAATGCTTGGTGTGGACGGTGGTGGTTGCTGCCTGGATCAGCAGTCGTATGTCTTTTCTCTAGTGTTTTAATGCTTTTCTTAGCGGGGTCAAGTTTAAAAAACAAAGAAATGGGGCTGTCAGTTAAATTATCTTCCTTTGTCCAAGGCATGGATTCAGCAGCAAGTCCAAGAAATCTGCAGATTGGTCATTGGTGAAATTTTGATACTTTGAATATGATGATCTAAATCACAGAATCATAGAATGGTTTGGATTGGAAGGAACCTTAAATGTCATCTGGTTCCAATATGCTATAAGAAGAAGAAAGATAGTACTACTTTTGCAGGGAAGAAGAGCATGCTTTTCTGATTAGGCTGTGTTTGAGGTCTTTTTTTTTTTTTGTTTCGTCCCCCCAAAAAATAAATAATTTTTTGAAAATTTTGTTTCTTTTATTTGTTTTTTGTTTGTTTTGTAGGGAGGTTCCTATGAAGGATGCCAAAGAATATGCAGAATCTATAGGTGCAATTGTTGTTGAAACCAGTGCAAAGAACGCTGTTAACATTGAAGAACTCTTTCAAGGAATAAGTAAGTAAATGTTCCCTTTATTTATTTATTTATTTATTTATGATTGTTTGGAGGTCTTCTGAAAATAGCTGTCTGTTTCGGGTCTAAAAGCTTCTTTCCCAAGGAGATCAAGAAATCCACTGGGCCAGTAGCATGGCTGCTGTTTATGCAGATGTAAACTAAGAATGACTTTGAATACACCAGAACAAAACATAGTAGATAACGGGTAGGCCTGTTCCTTCTAAATCTGTATATAAATCCTGACCTGGGTCACATCTTCTGTTTCAGACCAAGCCTGCTGCAGAGGCGATACTGTTGATCTTATCATCATGTTGATAAAAACTTAAATGTTGAGAAATGCGCCTGGAGGTCTATGATAAGTAGAAAATAGTCATTGCAGTGGAATCTGTTTAAAAAAAAAAATTTCTTTCTAGGTCTTTTAAACAAGATGAGACTGACATTCCTCATGAGGAGAAGAAAAAATGACCTGTTCAGTTTGCCTTCTAGGGGTTCCAGTTTTGGTCTCTGGCTGCAAGTGGGAAGGACCTTGTGAGCTGAAAGGGACCTCAGGAGACCTTCAGTCCAACTTCCCACTCAAAGCAGACTTGATAGTGACTTCAGACCAGGTTGCTCTGGCCACTGTCTGCCTGGGCCTGAAAGCAGAGATTCCACAATCCCTCTGGGCAGCCGAGTCCAGTGTTTAAATAGTCCTCACAGTGGCATCCCCCTCGGTGTATCAAGTCAGAACCTCTCCTGATTCAATTCATGGCCACCATTGCTCATTGTCCTGGATGCGCCTCAGGAAAGAGGCTGGCTCTGTCTCCTTAGCAGCCCTCCCCATAGGTACTGACAGGCAGCTTTGTGGTCCCCCAAAGCCATCTCGTCCCCAGGCTGAACAGGCCCCATTTCCTCAGCCTCTCCTCACAGGGCGAGCGCTCCCGCTCCCTGACTGTCTTGGTGGCCCTCCTCTGAGCTTGCACCAGTTTGTCAACATTTTTCTTGTATCGTGGGGCCCAAAACTGGATGCATTACCCAGCTTGTGTTAGTATCTAGAAGGGGATAACCACTTCACCTGATCTACTGGCTTGGCTCTTGTTGGTATGACTTAGGATGCTGTTGGCTGTCTTTGGTGCCAGGGTGTGCTGCTGGCTCGTGCTCAGCTTGCTGCCCTCGGGTCCTTTTTTGGCAGAGCTGCTTCCCGGGCAGCCAGTCCCCAGCCTGTCTCATAGCCAGGGGCTTTTCCTTCCCACAAGCAGGGCTTGGCATTTGTCCTTTCTGAACCATATAAGGCTCCTGTTGTCCCATTCCTCCCTCCAGCTTAAGGCCCTCTGAACAGCAGCCCTGCCCTCAAGGGTATTGAATGCACCTCTGAATTGGGTATCATCTGAGGGTTGAAGTGGTTGCATATTTTTTCCTCCTTCAGGCCACTGATAAAAGGTATTAAGCAAGGTACTCCACTTGTAACTGGCCTACAGGTAGATACATGCTGTTAACCACTGGCCTTTGAGTCTGATGATGCAGCCAGTTTTTCACACAGCTAATAGTCTGCCTATCTAGACTATAACGTCGCAACTTAGATATACCAGGATGCTGTAGGAGAAAGTATCGAAAGCCTTGCTAAAGTCAAGGTAGACAACATCCAATGCTCTCCCTAAATCACAGATCCAGTCACAGTATCCTTTAGGGCAACCAGGTTGGTTGACATGGTTTACCCTTGGTAAGTCCATGCTGACTGGTCCCAGTCACCTTCTTCACCTTCATGTGCCTCAGAAGCAGCTTCTGAGAGGATTTGCTTCACGGTTTTCCCAGGAAGCAGAGTGAGCCTAACCAGCCTGTAGATCCATGGCTTGTTATTGCTCTTTTTGAAGACAGATATAGCATTCACCTTTCTTCAGTCATAGGGGACCTCCCTCATTCTCCACAACCTTTCAAAAATGATAGGGATGATAAAGAGCAGCCTTGCAGTAACATTGCCGTGCTCCCTCTGCATCCCCAAGCTTGTACGGGTTGAGATTTTTTAAGAGCTCCATGACTTGATCCTCTTCCACTACTGGTGGTTCCTCCTCTCCTTGAATCCTGTTTTGGGGTGCAGAGGCCTAGGAAACAGCATGTCCAGAAACTCAATTTTGTTTTCCTGAAGTCTTCATTTTATTTTATTTCACATATTCATAATCAGCTCATATTATCTACCACACTTTGCCTGAGACAGGGCCTGTTCAAGTGTTTGCTTTGCTTGCGTGGGATGTATTTGAAATGGTTCGTGAGAACTGATATTCCTAGAATACGCTACCTTTCTTTTACCTCCTTTAAAAAAGGAGTGTGTAACATGGCTGTCTGGAGGAACCGGTTCTTCCTTGTGATAGTTTACTTGATTGTCTGCGTCTGATGGTTGTGAATGTTCTCACGGAGGAACTCATCCTTGCCGCGTAATTAGATAATTAGTTTCCGTCTTTGATAGGCAACACTGCAGCTGGCAGCGCACACTGTCCCTAATAATGGATATAATAGACAAGGAAAATCAGCTAAATTAAGTTTAGTATGAACTAGATACCCAGGCAAGTGCACTTAATTCCACAGGCAATTATTTCTATATATAGAAATATTTGATCTCAGTGGATGTACTCGTGACCTTATCAAGTACTCAGCAGAGAGAAAGGAGAGAGTTGGTAGTCTATGTTTATAGAAATATAGTGGAAACCAAGTAAAAAATGCTTAATTAGCAGGAGAATTAATTAGTGTGATTGTGACTGGGCAGAGGGTATGGATAACTTTCTGATGTTTTACACCACTTGAGTCTTCGTGCAATTTCCAAAAAAGTCTGTCTGTGCCCAAGTTGTACGGCAGCATTTCTGCCTTTTCAGGGCAGGAAGTCCCTCTGTGGCCATGTCTCCTACCCTGTTGACTAATTTTATTTGTGTGGTGCCCTAGAAGTCATGCTGCAGCTTTAGTTTTGCTTTCGCGCTGCCCGAGAGTTCGTGCCCTTCTCTTTGTGCTGCTGTAGAAGGGCATGGTGCAGCTCCCCAGCCTCTGAACAGGGAGACAGCAACTTCTGTTGACCTTGGATCTTGTAGGTAGACTGTATGTGTTGCCTACTTTACAGCCTGGATTTGGAAGGATATTCCAACATGTGTGGAGAATTTCTCCATTAAAAACTTTCTTGAAATGGATACCCCAAACAGAAAGGGTAGACTACATTTTAATTTAGCCAAAAAATTTACCTCCTTCTTGCTTATCCTTTTCATTTCCCAGGGGTGTTTTAACATAATCATTTTTCCTTCGTAAGGTGCGTAACAACTGTCTCCTTTCCAGGGAAAATATTGTGAATGGAGTGAAATAGTGTAATGGGAAAAAATTACTCAACATAATGATACAAAGAAGGCAGAAAATAAAAGGGGAACTGGGATGTTTTGCTGACAGCCAGATAAATCTTGGAAAAATTATAGAGATTATAGACAGATCACTTCATTTCTAAGGTTATTATATTACACTATTTTTGAAAGATTTTTTTTGAAATAAGTTTCTCTCAGGATTTGAGGATTTGACTGCTTTGAGGGATGTCTTAATAACACAGTCTCGACACAAATCAATTGTTCTTAATCCTTCTCAAGAAAATACAAGATGTGAAAGACTAGAACCAGTAACAGTTTCTGGTTTTTTTGAAGATGGGGCAAATCTGGCAGGAAAGGGATTCTGCAGCCAGTGTACTCGGGCGAATAAGGCTGAGGAGGCAGACTGAGCACAGGAGCCAGCAAAGTTGGTGCTCTCTGCGCTGGAGAGTTTTCACTGAGCTGCGTAGTGGGATGCAGCTCCTGGCTGGCTGTTGTACCCCTGTGATTTCAGATGGCAAGCCACTACGCTTACCCTGGTTACATTTAGCAGCACCTGACTGAAGGCTTGCTGTGATTGTGAAACATCATGTGGCTGTTTTATTTCTCTGTAAACAAGAAAAGCATATTTTTAGCACAGTTGTATATTCCCCACTTGGGCTAAATTTTTCCCAATGTCTTTCTTGAAAGCGTTTTTGACATAAAAAGGGCTTAAGATTATAGTGGTTTTTCATGTGTTCAGTAGTTCTTTTTTAATAGCTGAGTGTCTGTAGGATCAAATGTTATTAACTTTTTATTCCCAGCCTTAGAAAAATCATAGGCACAGCAGCTCCTTGTCGCTGGTTTATACTTCAGCAACAGCAAATATGCCAGGAATGTATTATACGATAGCAGTATAATACAGTATAAAGTTGGGCCTGTGCAGGGGATCATACCAGTTCTGTATTGCGCCTTCTTGGTTGCGGGGCTTTAGTCCACTGACCACTGCTTGTACCTGGGAGAACATCTCCCCCATTAAAACTGACTGCTTTTCAATGACTAAACAAGCTGCCCCAAGCGTACTGTCATTTAGTAGCAATCACACCCTTGCAATTTTCAAGCACGAGTTCATTTAACAACTCAAATAAGCTGTAGTTACCTTATTCAAATCTAGTACACGCCCAGCTATTTCTCTTCAGCGTGTGTATTGCCTGTTACGTTGGCGTGAAGGTGCCCCAGACAGGAGAGAGAAGATTACATAAAAGCCACCCTCTTTAAATGATAGAGCCGAGACTGTACCTCCCAGGTTAATACCAGTCTGCACCAGTAGGTTCAAGGGTAAACAGGCAGTGGGACAAGTAAGCCGCTGAAGAATACCTAGCCAAGTGAAACAGAAATAAACTTGTGCTTAAACAAAAAAATAAATGATGGGCATGCATTGGGTTGGTTTTGGTTTTGTTTTTTTTTTGAAGTCTAACAAATGTTGGAGATTGGTGTGCTACCAAAGGGGGGGAGATTGAAGCATTTCAGCATTTTCTGTCGAGGGTGAGAGGGAAGTGAGGAATGCGATTATCAGAATCACTCTATGGAAAGTGTGTAAAGAGTTGTTAGCACGCTTCGTCTTACTGATGCTAGTACTACGAGAAGGAGAGACAGGCTGATGTTTAAAAATCCAGCTAAGGATGTTCTTCCTAGATGAGGCTTCCTAATTAAAGC